ATTTAGGTATTGCCAGGTAATTTTTAGATCAAGTTTAAATGTGTCTCAACTCTCAAATCAAAACCTTTTATAATCTCCTCTTATTTCCATGAGCTATGTAAGTAATGGTGCAACTGATTTTTTTAATCTTTCAAAGCTACATTTCTTTCCCTAATCCCTATATTTTCCCATTTCCAAATGGACACTCGTGTTATGTTTATATTTCGAATTGTTTTAGAGAATTTAAAAGAAAATGCTACATAAATTACTTTTCACATGTAATTTAATGCACCAGACCCTCTCGTAGTCTCGTGAAATATAAATTCAACACATTAGTCCCTTGTGATTAAAAAAGGGTAAAGGTGCAAATAGGCCCATGTACTAACCAAAAAAGGTCAAATAAGCCCTTATTTAGGAGGCTTTGTCCGGCCGTCGCCATTTGGAGTGGTTCCCGGTGGAATTTTTTGATGAAATTTTTTGAGCATCTTATTCATCAAGTCTAGTTTACTCATACCAAATTTCAGCAAAAACTTCAATCGGGAAGGCATTCAAATGAATTCTTGAAAATAATTGCGCAGTTAGAAGCGCAGTTATCTTCAAGAATTCATTTGAATGCCTTCCCGATTGAAATTTTAGGTCAAATTTGGTATGAGCAAACTAGACTTGATGAATAAGATTCTCTAAAAATTGAATTAAAAAATTCCACCGGGAACCACCCTAAATGACGACGGCCGGACAGAACTTCCTAAATAAGAGCTTATTTGACCTTTTTTGGTTAGTACATGGGCCTATTTGCACCTTTTCCCTTAAAAAAATGCGTCAAACCCTGTTATGAATTATTCATGTGCAAACCCTTCTATGAATAGATTTAATTGCCAAAAAAGGAAAAATGATTGGTTTTTTTTGTATAATTTAGAAAATTTGACAAAGTTATATTCATATTCAATCATATTATTAAGAAGAGTGATCTCAAAATTGTAAATTTTTTGTGTGGAGGTTTTGCGCATGAATAATTATAACACATGGGGGTTTGACACATTTTAAATCACATGGATTAATGCGTCAATTTATATTTCACGATGGGGTTTAGTGCTCTAAACCGGTTTCTTTTTTACTTCAAAAGTGAAAAGACAAAAGGGGGTATCACTACTTTTTAATTTCAATTTACTTTATTAGGTATTGCAAGACTTTACATAGCATATATTAATAATTATAAAGTAAATAATACAGATATTGCCTTAAATAGGAGTAAAAACGTTTCGAAATTTTAAAATATGAGTATCATGTTTTTTATTCTTTGAATTGGAGTAATCTGCCAAGTTTGGAAGAAAATGTCATGTTAAAAGCCTTGTAATGCCAAACTTGGCATAAATTTACTCCTATTCAAGGAATAAAAAACATGATACTCCTATTTTGGAATTTCAAACGTTTTCCCTCCTATTTAGGTAATTCTCTCTAAATAATATTAAAACAAACTAGAAGTTAACAATTCTAAGTTATCACATTACTTGAAGCTATACATATAAACAAGCTTTATAAACTATTTTTATAATGTCAATGAAGCGAATAATAAAAATTAATTATATGTAAAACCAAAAATAATTAAATAATACAAGTATATAAGTATACATTTGTTTCACTAAATATATTATTGATCTTATTACTACTAGAATTATATAACAGGAAATCGTAGTTAATTTATACATTCGATAGTGTACTTTTTATGAGCGAGTTTACAATTTTACCTGCGCCTCAAATCGATTTATTAGCATATAATTGAATCATAAATTGAGATAATTTTTTTTATTTACATAATGATTTTAACATATTAGATACCATGTTTCCCCCACCCACATTTTTATATCCTTTTCTTTGTATGCTTTCTATTTTATATTTATGTTCTCTATTTAATTGGTTGTCTCTTTTGGCTCCCGCTAAAACTATGGTGGCTTATAGGTCATCTAAGCATACAAATTCCACCAGATCCCTAAAAAAATCCACCAAGAGTCCTACTAAAGACATCATAATGATTAAATCTATTTTTTTTAAATAGAATCTTGTAACTTGCAACTTTATATCGCAAAAAACAATGATTTTAAACTCTTTTTTCAGAACAATTATTATATGTTAAAACATATATCCTGGTGCTATCAAAAAACAACATTGGGCATTATCCTTTTCGCGCAACGCGTGACGTATAACTAGTAAATTAATAAAGGCAATTGCGTCTAACGGGGGAGCGCGGCCTACAAATGGAATACACATCCAAGATGGCCTGATCCGCATGCCTCGAACCTGGGCATGATTCTAACGAGGTCAGACTCATCCTTGGACCCATGTGACAAGTCATTCATTGTGCATGAGTATCCGATTGCGACATGAATTGAATGGAAGCGACGTGGACGTAAAGGAGCAATAGATATGGAGTTATGGGATACGTTCAAAGAGTCCCATCATGATTAGACCTATTTAATGTACCGATTATGTCTCCTTAGACTACTGTAGCTCTATGTATATAAATACTTCATGTACTTACCCTAAAAGGGATCAGCTTTTCCGAATAATAATAGTGTCTAACGCTGCCCAAATACTTTGTTTTCATAGATTAGCTCTTTGTTATTAGTATTAAACTCCATCAATTATACTTACTACGAATTACTGAGTCATTTTTTTGTCCAACATGCTTATTCTGTAAATATATTAGGGATTTGTTTTAAATAACATTGGTATAGTATACTGCTTTTATATTAAACGTAATTGTTTCTGGTTTTAATCGGTCCAAATTGGGTTGTAGATTTTAGGGACTGTTAGTTGACCCGATTTTTGGGTTCGGTCCGGATATTTTTTTTGGCCGTCAAAAAATAAGAAAACCTGAACCAGCCACATTTTCAATCTGAGCTAGGGTCAATTTTTGAGTTTCGATTCAGTTTATCCCACCTCTAGATTTTGTTTAGTTGTTGGATCGTGTCATTTTGATAGTAAAGTATTGTTTGCACATTCTTCACTACCACAATATATAGTGGTGGACTCGGGCCGGGTGGCCTGACCCGGAACCGGCCTCGGCCCCGGCCCCGGCCCCGGCCCCGGCCCCGGCCCGGTACTGTTAGAACCGGCCTAACCCGGTGGCCCGGCCAGGGACCAGTCCGGGTAGGCCCGGCCAGAGGGGATTTCCGGTGCTAAGTCAGGTCAGGTAAATAAGGAACCGGCCCGACCGGCCCCGGTTCGGGCCATATTTTTTTTCAATTTTTTTTTTTTGAATTCCCGGGTTGGGCTGGGTATTTTGGGCCATTTGGGGTGGTTTGGGGGATTGGGGATGGGGGGGGGGGGGGTCGGGGGTTAAATGGAAAAAGGGAAAAAAATAGAATTTGGCCCGAGGCCCGACCCGGACCCGGGGGTTACCCGGGCCGGTTCCGGGCCTACCTCCCAACTTCTAAAGCCCGACCGGGCCTAGGCCCGGCCCGGGTCCATCACTAACAATATATATGAACTGTAAGAGTATTATGCTAATGCCATATTTGATCTATGCCTTTGATTTTATCTGTTTTTGGTATATGATTTTTTTTGCCTATTTGTGACCCCTAAATCTATGACACTTTTATTGTGACTGTACCACACTAACACCGGATATACGAATGGAAGAACTCCATGCGGGCAACAAACAAAATAATCTCAAGTACCGATTAAGAGTAGCGGAAGTTGTAAATCATAAGGCAGTGTTTGGTTGAAGGTAATATCACATATAGGGCGGAATCTGATGTCCGGAATGTGAGATACCTGTGTTTGGTTCGCGGGTTTGATTTTTTTTTTGGGAATGTTAGATGCCCAGAAGTAAAAAAGGTAAGCAGATAACCGGTTATGTGAAACCCACCACAGGCTTAGGTTTTATAAGATTCCCGGTTACTTCATAATTTTCTTCCAAAAAACCCTACGCTTCATTATACGCAGCTCTCTTCCTGCTTGAAACACATGACCGCAGCTCTCTTCTTCTGAGGAACGTCCCGCACAGCTCTCCATCTTCAAAATCAAGTAATGTCTTTCTCTATTTTTCAAGTTTGTGTATGTTTTCTTCTACTCCCTCCTTTTTCAATCAAACCACAAACTTAATCCACGATTAAGTGCGAATTAGGGTTACATTCAATGGCAATATAGCTGTTTCCAACGGCTTGCTCATGGATGATAAAATGAGAAGAGTACTCCTCAGAGCCAGAAAATGGACCGGAACTGGTCAATCTGCTACCTATTTTTGGGTAACCTGATCTGTGATAGTTTTGGGTTCGAAAATGAAACAAATTACTCTAGGCTATAGTCATTAAAGACCAGCTAAGTTATACCACGTGCATTGGTTTAATTTCAAGCAACCCAAAAATTAGATTTTAGGCTACACTTATGACAGTATCAAATTCGGTGTTTAATTTAGTTCAGTGGTTCCAATATAGTCACTATTATATTAGGCCATCATCAAGATACATGTATTAATATTCACATCTATACTTAACAACCTTTATTCTAACGTTTTATCTTTTATTAAGTTATTTACTAGACCCCATTAATAATAATGTATTTATTATGATACTTAAGCAGAGTCCACTTCCCCACCGTATAAACACTACAAACAATGGGAAGATTGTGAACTATAGGAAGCTAGGCAAAGATGCCAACTTTTTTCCTTTGAAAAAAAAGAACAGGTAACACAGGAAAAAGGAAAAGTGAATAAAGTGACTAACCTCTTTTACACCACTCCGTTTAGTATTCTAACCTCTTTTAAGTAGAATGAAACGTAGAGCAGAGATAAGAGGAAAAAAAATCAGATTATAGGGTTAATTTTTAATTGGTAGTTTATGATTAATCCTCTTTTAATTTTCTTTAACCTTCTTCTAAGTAGAGCAGGGGAGTCATATCTTCCTTTTAGTGCTATTTAAACTCAAAATGTACATTCTGGTGCATTAGTTTGAGTAATTATTAAAGAATATAGTAGTATTTGTCCACATATTTGAGCCTTATGTATTATATAATTGTTTTAGGTTTTATGGCTCGATTGCCAATTCAAAAGAAGATGCACTTGGCCACTGTTTTAACTTTGCAAATGATGGAAATGGAAAACATGCTTCTCATGATGATTTTCATTGCAATTTGTTTACTTATTAAGAGAAGTAATAACAGGAGAGGAATTAGCTACGCTCATATGTTCAATAGGAGACATAACTTAAGGACATTGAATTTGTGGGAGATGGCTTTTGAGAACGATACTTCATGTGTTGATAATTGTAGAATGGATAGGCGTGCCTTAAAAAAACTATGTTATTTGCTTAGAACCGTTGGTAGATTGAGGGAAAGCAGGAACATGAGCATTGAAGAAATGGTGATATCATTTCTTCATATCATTGGACACAATATAAAGAATAGGGTTTTGAAACGGCAAGTGGCAAGGTCAGGTGAAACAGTCAGTAGACATTTTCAGTCTGTTTTAAATGCTGTTATAAGACTGCATAGCATATGTTTTAAGAAACCAGAACCAATACCAGAGACTTGCATGGATGAGAGATGGAGATGTTTTAAGGGTTGTTTGGGTGCATTAGATGGTACATTCATCAAGGTTCATGTTACTGCGGAGGCGAGAGCAAGATATAGAACAAGGAAAAGTGAAATTGCTACTAATGTCTTGGGTGTTTGCACACCAGACATGCAATTTATATACGTGTTACCAGGTTGGGAGGGCTCTGCTGCAGATGGTAGAGTACTCAGAGATGCAATTAATAGGAAACACGGATTGAAGGTTCCACAAGGTAACATATGTATATATATATAATGTGATAACTTTGAAACCATATGTTAAGTTAAAGAATTGTTTATTCTGATTTTAATTATCACTTTAAACTGCCATATATAGGGAATTATTATCTTTGTGATGCTGGATACACAAACGGTGAAGGATTTTTAGCACCATATAGAGGTCAAAGGTACCATTTGAGCGAGTGGAAGCAAGGTGCCCAACCTGTAAATGCCCAAGAATACTACAATATGAAACACTCTCAAGCAAGAAATTGCATTGAGAGATGTTTTGGTATTTTAAAGAAAAGATGGGCGGTTTTGAGAGATAAATCATTTTATCCATTAAAAACTCAATGCAGAATCATCACTGCGTGTTGCATTCTTCACAACTTCATTAGATCTGAGATGTCCATTGATCCTATTGAGGCTGAGCTTGAGAGCGATACTGATGATGATTCTGGTGATGATGAGGAGTTGATAAGACATTGTGTGACATGTACCAAGGATGTATTTGATGACTGGGTTAGAGTTGAGTATTTATACCTTTCCTGAAATAGTTAAAAACTTATAATATAGTTATCTACCATATAATTCTAATATTGTTTGTGTCCTTCCTATGTGTAGAGTCATCCAAGTGCTCATGGTTTAAGGAACAAACCTTTTCCACACTATGATGAACTAGTTGAGGTGTTTGGGAAAGACCGAGCTACTGGCGCAGGAGCCGAGACTGCAGCTGATGCGATTGAAGAGCTTGATGAAGTTGGCGAAGAAACTGATTTTCAAGATGATGAAGTAGGAGATGATGAAACTGAATTTGGAAGTGCATATGGTGAAGGTCAAATGAATAATACAGGGGCTAGTGCAGATGCTGCATCTGGTAGCCAAGCAACAAGCAAGGCATCAAGCAAGAAAGCTGGAATTGTGACTAGCAAAAAGAGGAAAGTGCGGGATGACGGTTTAACTAATTTGGTTGTTGAGATTGGAAAGTTTGCATCTTCTTACCAGGAGAACACTGAGTGCCTCAAAAGTATTTCTTCCTTCTTTAGCAAAGAAGCTGCTGAGAGTGACAGAAAGTTGATGATTTTTGAGGAGATCATTAAATTGGAGGCTTTCTCAAAAGAAGAAGTGATGGATGCAGGTGAGCACATATTGAAAGATGCTCACAAGCTTGACACCTTTTATGCTCTCCCTATGGCATTTAGAAAGGATTATGTCCTAAAGCAATTGGGAGATTTGGCTCCATATCAGCCCACCTTTGACTTCTAAATATCCTTCTGAACGGGTTAATTTTGAATTGTAATATCTCCAAGCTTTAGTTTTGCTAGTACATTGTGATCATCCTGGGAGTAAATACAAATGCCAGTGATAGATTCTGTGCAATTGTATTATTGTATTTTTGCTACTGATATGTAACTTGTAAGTTGCAACATTGACTTACTTTTTTGCTACTGATGTTCACTAATTTTTGTCATTTGTGCAATTAAACATATTTTGTTTTACTAGTCAATTATGTTGTTGATATACCAATAACATTTGTAACATCTTTGTCAAAACCAATGGGAATGAAAAGTGAAATACAGGCAGCTTCTGGAACTGTTGATATACCAAAAACTGTCAAGGTAGCTTTTGAAGGTCAATTATGCTCTTTTCCCTTGCCTTGATTATCAGAAGTGTTTCATACACCCTTTCTGATGCTTTGTAGGTACAGACAGGTTACTTTTGAGGGTAAGAACCACATTGATTCCCTAAGTCCAACTTTGTGCTCATTGAAGACCCCATCTGCCAAGAAAATAGATATATTGAGATGAGGCAGTCTGCTAAGATGGAGAAGGCTGCAAAAACTGTATCAGAGATCAGCTTGGGTTTTGTAACTTGGGTTCCCTCTATAATCATCCTCTTCTTTAAAGACTTAAAAGTGTCCTTCAATTTTAGTTTGTTTTGTAACTTGGGTTCCCTCATGTCTGGCTGCAGATAAGGATCTCTGAAAATTAAACATATTTCGCTTAAAATTATTTACTAATGTTCACTAATCTTAGTCATTTGTCCAATTAAACATACTTTGCTTAAAATCAATCCAATTAGTTTTGATTTTAATTACTACGTATTATTATTAAGATGTTTTATTTTTCTATAAATTTTAATTACTTTAATTATAGGTTGTAATGAGTTAATGTGTTAAGAGACAAATATTTAAAGGGCAATTAAGTAATTCACCAAATATGCAATATAAGATATCACTCAACCAAACAACTTAATGTCACATTCCCTTAATCGTAACCAAACACAAATGAGTTACACATTCATCACATTCCCATCCATCTAACATACCCGGTAATCTAACATTCCCATGGCAATCTGACATCCCTTGAACCAAACATACCCTAAGAGTTGTGCTATAGGTATCCCATTTTTACCACACACTTTGTGTGGTCCAAATGAGACCACATTTAAATGAGTTGCCCCATTTGGACCACACAATAGATAGAGTGTGGAACAATGGGTACCCAAAATGGGGTAGTTATAACATTTTGGAAATAATTAACCCTATCATGCCTCTTAAAAAAAGTAAGACCATATAAAAGTGAAGAAAATAGAAATCAATGCAAAACGTACATTTTTTATTAAGAAAAGTGACAACCCAATAATAAAAAAAGTTACAAAAGTAATTTGCAAAACAGAAACTACTCAATGAAAAATTTGTTGATGTTGTACCACGAAATCAGTAAAAAAAACAAAACAACAACTCCCTCCGTATCAATTTAATTGACTCATTTGCTTTTCACGCAGTTTAAAACAATTATTGTAGACTTTATTAAAAGTAAGAGGTTTTTGGTACTGTAGCGGTACTGTAACAGTACTGTAGCTGCTTTTTAAGTGAGATTCTTTCCAAAAAGGGAAAGAGGTCAATTAATTTGATACCCATAAAAGGAAAGTGGGTCAATTAAATTGATACAAAAGGAGTAAAACATAGAGAGAGCATGAAAATACGGAAAAAGTAAGATTGAAAAGTGCTAAAAACATGACTTTTTACATGGGAGTATTGTATAAATAACGATTTTGTGAACATGAAAACAATGTAAAATCATAAATACTCCGTATGTATTCTTCAAAAAAAAAATATTCCGTATGTAAAGACTTTGACAAAAGGGAAAGACTTGGGAAACCGCGAGAATGAGAAATTTTAGTATGGCCCATTTTGACATCAAGTTATGTTCCTTTTTAAATGAATTGTCTATGTAGACAGACAACTAGAGAAGTTTTGTGTACAATTTGTGTACTCCTTATGTTTCAATTTAAAAGATACTATTTGATTTTCACACAATATAAAAAAGTGATACTGTTTGATATTACTTTGCATTGTTTTGTTTATCACAAAAGAAAAGAGGGCATTTTTAAGGAACAGATCGAAAAAGAAAGTGAAATGTTTATTTAAGGACGGAAAGATAAAAAGAATATTGAGTATTGGGTCATGTTTCAAATTTCAAAAAATCTTATATACTTCTTCCGTCCCATTTTACCTCCCCTACTTTTCTTTTTGGGTTATCGCAAAATAAGTGTCTCCTTTCTTTTTTTGCAAATAAATATGTGACCTATACCATTTCACTTTATTATACTCAAACTTCAACCACAACTTTTACTTTTTCAACCACTTCATTAATAACCGTGTCAAGTCAAACTAAGACACAAAAAATGGGACAGATGTAGTACATATTACTACTGTTTACACAGTGTCTTGAAAGCTTTTAGGACTTGTTTGCGATCAATTAAAAAAAGTGATTTTGGCTTTTTTTAAGAAAAAAACACTTATTTTACTAAACACTATCAACTTTTACTTCCTCGGTTTTCGTGTAGAATCTACTTTTTACTTTTTCTATTACACAAAAAACACTTATTTTACCAAACACTATCAACTTTTACTACTAATCACTTTTTCCCAAAAAGTGCTTTTATTTAAGCACAAGTGATTTCAAAACAGAGCCGAATATTTTTTTACCTTTTTTCTTGCAAGTGTAGTACTAATCACTTTTTTCCAAAAAGTGCTTACATTTAAGCACAAGTGATTTCAAAACAGAGCCGAATATTTATGTATTGTACAAGTATTATGTACAAGTGTGTAAACAAGTGTGTTCTAAGAATTATTGTTCAAATTTATATACCCGAATATTTTTTTACCTTTTTTCTTGCTAGTGTAGTACTCCGTATTTATTTACCTTTATTATTACTCCCTCCATCCCTGTTTTATCTCCCATTTCGGTTGGGCACATTAATTAAGATAGTGAGATTTGTGTGGTGGAGAATTGTGCACAGCAGAGAGGAATGTATAAGAATGTGTAAAAATGATTGTGAACCATAAATTCTTTGCCAACAAGAGAAAAAGGAGATAATTTTGGTGGGAACGAAAAAGGAAAGTTTGAAGATACTCCTTAGTCCGTACTACTCCGTATAAGTTTCAACACAACTGTGAGAAACAGCAATCACACGATACCTACAGTGAATGACACGGATCTGATTCTCTTCCTTCTTCTCCGCTCCGCCCGATTCACCGTCGTCAACCGGATCCATCCGCCGCGGCTCCAAGATGACCGCAATCAGCATCCACGTATCCGCGCTTGACGGAATCATACACGTCAACTCTCTGTTCACATTTGCCGTATTCGTCGGGCTAGCTTGGAACCCTCGCGACCCGAATAACCGGCTCACTGACGACCCGAAATGTGAGGCCGGGCCGAAAATCGCGGAGGATCTGGTGGCGTTTCACGTATACTCCTTCGCCTCTTTCCTCTTCTCCAGCCTCATCGCCATGTGCATCAAGCAGGTCACCCGACTGGCCGAAGGTGCACATGTGGAGATTCACGGCGTTGACATTTCGGTGGTTGTGAACAAATTCTTAGTCCAGATCGGGTATGGAGTTTGCGCCGTGGGTTCGGTTGCTGGCTGTGTTTGCTTGATGCTTGCTTTGAGGAATGTGGTTGAGATCAAGCTCGGGACATTAGGGTGTGGAAGCCCGCATACCTCTGAAGCTGTCTACCCACTTTTTATCTTTGGGATTGCTGGGCTTATCTTTTATGTCCTCACCATTGTATATGCTTTTTTTGTTTAGAAAGTCATCAATCATCAATTTGCTTGTCCGGGCCGGCTTGGATTTGTTTATTAACAAGGTTGGTTGTGGGTGAGATTGATATGTGTTGTAAACTTGTAACTAATGGTATGGAATTGGGATCCCGTGCGGGAATCCCACCCCGATTACTGCTGTTGATCGACGGTTGTGATGCATTTGCTCGGGGTGGGGCTGTGCCCTGCACGGGATGTATGTGGTAATTGTGGCTTTTCATTTCATTGATGTCCTTCATAAGAGTGTTTGTTTTGATAGAATAGAGTGTAGAGGATACATGACTTCATTCTTCAGGTTTACCAATGAATGTGTCTGGTTTCTACGGAGTATATTTTAAATTTTCTCTACTGAATATGTTGACTGTCTTACCAAGACTTGTGACTTCAATCCTTCATAATGCATCCATCAACATCTATGGACTGGAAGTTCCAAAGCCATGGACATTTATGTTTGTTCTGCTCAACGTACCATGACATGTATGTGATCTGAAACGTAAAGCAGGTATCAAATGCTAAAGTAGAAACTGCTTCGAAATCAGTAACCTGCATTTTTCATTTTAAGACATTTCAAATTTCACTAGAATTATGTACGCAATAAAAGCGATGGTCTGCAAAACATCCCTAAAACAGCACCAAGAACTTGATTCAATCAAAAGGGAACACAATGGATCTATCTATATTCAATTGGTAATACTTTGACTTCAATACACTTAATCCATACTCCGTATTAGCTAAACAATAACACTTACGATTATTCTGGAGGATTATTGCTATTATATATTATTAATTTATTATATTATTATACTTTTTGTTGTCGTTATATTATTGTTATTATTATTACTATTACTATTAATTTTATTGTATAATAAGTATAGAGAGAAGGGTTGAAGTGAGAATGGGAGATGCAAAAGAAGGGAAAATTTTTTAAATAGGAAAAAAAAGCATTTTGAAGTTTCAAAATATCATTGTCATATTTTTATTACTTATATAAAATAATTACTATGATGTTTGAAAAACTGTGATGCTTAAAATTTGATACAGGAAATAAAATTGTTTTTGAAAAACCGTTTCAAATATTACTTTATATTTAGGAAATGAAAATATGACTATTTTATTTTAAAATCTAGAAACGTTTTTAACAATTTTAAGAGAACACAGTGCAAAGTCGGCGTTGGTGTGGAATGTTGAAGACGAAACCGATGGAAGATAAATACTACTCGGTATGTATTACGGAGTAACTATATTATTAAGGAGAAACTATTAAGGAATAAATTCAAGGAAGGCATATATATAGTCAGGTGACAACTCCGGTACCCATTTAAAAAATGGGGTACCGTACCTACCATGCATTTGATTGGTCCAAATCATTAAATCCCTTTTAATTTAGATTTAAATAATTCAACTGCATGATTCTGGTTGGTCTATGTGGACAAAGGTACGGTACCTTATGGGTACCGTAGAATCTACCATATAGTCAATTCGTTTATTTATTAAAGAGGCATTCACTATTTTCTTGGCTCCTCACACGACCACACCGATAACATAAGAACCTTTACAAACTAATATTGTAACTGATTAGAACACTTTTGTTTGTCAGCTTGACTAATTGAAGTTAATTTAAATATTTCAATATAATCGTTCTTTGCATCCCAGGAGTAGTTTGGAACTAGAACTTGGAATAACAGCATGTTATTTCAAATTCAATACCAAGCTACCCTTGGAATGCAAAAAATATTATATAAAGTATTTAAATGTTTTTTTGTATTATCTATGTGTAATAAAGTTAAAATTATCTAGCTATGTTGTACAATCCGATCGAGAAGTGATCCCGACAGATGACTACGTCAAGCGTCACTCCTAAGTGGGCCCTAACTCTACTACATAATACAACATAAGATTAAATTCATAAATTGGAAAATGTCATTTCTTTCTAATTTAATGATAAAACAAGTAAAAAAATTAAAGTATACGTAGTATTAGTTTTAAGGGAAAATCACACTTTTGGTCTCTCAATTTGTCATCATATTGAAATGTCTGACCTCTGTTTATGAGATTGTAAATGTCATCTCTGCCGTTTATAATCCATCTCCAATTCTGCACTACCAACAAATTCACTGGGAATGACATTTACAACACATATATCGATTCAGGGGTAGCATTTACAACCTTAGAAACACAAGTCTGACATTTCAATATGATGACTAATTGAGGGACTAATTGAATTCAAAATACATTTCCCCTTAGACCAACAATGAATATGAGCATGACACCAATTCAAAATCTTATATATATATATATATAGAACTCTTCTTGTCAGGCCGGCCTGACCGGGAGAGCCGTCCGGCCGAGCCCGTTTGGGCACTTTCCCGGTGGAATTTTTTAATGAAATTTTTTGAGCATGTTCCTCATCAAGTCTAGTTTGTCCATACCAAATTTCAGCTCAAAATTCAATTGGAAAGGCATTAAAATCATTTTTTGAAGTTGACTGCATTTTTATATAATTGCTCTTCGCATATTGTGCCCTGGGTTCGGTTGCAGGCTGTGTTTGCTTGATGCTTGCTTTGAGAAATGTGGTTGAGATCAAGCTCGGGACATTAGGGTGTGGAAGCCCGCATACCTCTGCAGCTGTCTACCCACTTTTTATCTTTGGGATTGCTGGACTTATTTTAATGCCCTCACCATTGGATATGCTTTTTTTGCTTAGAAAGTCATTAATTTGCTCGTCCCGGCCGGCTTTGATTTGTTTACTAACAAGGTTGATTGTGGGTGAGATTGAGATATGTTGTAAAATTGTAACCAATTCTATGGAATTTGGACCCGTGCGGGAATTCCACCCCGATTACAAGTTTACAACCGTACAACCGTTGATCTATGTCAATCGTGATTGCAGTTGACTATGATCGACGGTTGCGATGTATTTGCTCGGGGTGGGGCAGTTCCCCACGGGATATATGTGGTAATTGCATCTTTTCCTTTCATTGATGCCCTTCATAAGAGTGTGTTTGGTTTGATAGAATCAGGTGGTAGAAGATATATGACTTCAGTCTTCAGGTTTACCAGTGAATGTGTTTATGTGTTCGGTTTCTATATCTTAAATTTTCTCTAGAGAACTGAACTGGTTGACTTCTTACCAAGACTTGTGACTAGCAAAACAAATGTGCTCAATCCTCTTCATAATGCATCCATGAACATCCCAGGGACTGGAAGTTACAAACCCATGGACAATAATGTTGTTTTGTTCAACGTACCATGAGATTTATGTGATCTGAAACGTAAAGCAGGTATCAAATGCTAAAGTGGAAACTGTTTCGAAATCAGTTACCTACATTTTTCATTTTAAGCAGGGGCGGATCCAGGAAATTTGTCTTGGGAGGGCGGTGACTTAAACAAAATATTTTTTGGGAGGGCGAAAATTATTTTTTATTATCTATATACACTAAAAAAATTTGTTGTTGGGGGGGCGACCGCCCCCCTGGGTCTGTACTACGGTCCGCCCTTGATTTTAAGACATTTCAAATTTCACTAGAATTATCAATTATGTACTCAATAAAAGGAATGGTCCGCTAAACATATCCCTAAAACAGCACCAAGAACTTGGTTCAATCAAAAGGGAACACAATCGATCTATCTATCTATATTCAATTGGTAATACTGTGAAGTTTGAACTTCAATACACTTTATCCATATTAGCTAAACAATAACACTTACGAATATGATGGAAGATTATTGCTATTGTTATTATACTTGTTGTTGTTATTATTATGATTCCTATTACTATTATTTTAATTTTATTGTATGATAAATGTAATTGTTGTTGTCGTTATTATTACTGTTTTCTAAGATCATCATCAACATCATCATCACTAGACTAGAGGGAAGAATTGATGTGAGAATGTGAGATGCAAAAAACACTAGAGAGAAGGGAAAATTTTCGAAAGAGGTAGAAATGCATTTTGAAGTTTCAAAATATCAGTGCCATATTTTTAATTTTTTATTACTTGCATAAAATAATTACTATGAAGTTTGAAAACTGTGATGCTTAAAATTTGATATAGGAAATACAATTGTTTTTGAAACACCATTTTAAATATTACTCCGTACTTAATATTTAGGAAATAAAAATATAAAAATCCAGAAACGTTTTTAACAATTTTTAAGAGTTTATAGTGCATTGTCGGCTTTGATGTGGATTGTTGAAGATAAAACCTGTGTAAGATAAATACTACTCCGTAACTTTAAAATCTTCTCATTTGAAAAGTAGGTAGACTAAGAATAGTGAAAGAGAATATGAATCATTGAGGATATGATAGGAAAATAGTGGAATAAGGTGATGGAATGTAGGATAAATCCAAAAAAGTAGTTGTAATAGTGTATTATTTTCAGAATTATTGAGGGTATGATGAGAAGATTTAAAAATGAGAAGATTTTTTTGTTACGGACTAAAAAGGAAAGTGAGAAGATTTTAAAGTTACGGAGGGACATATTACGGAGTAACTATATTATTAAGCACTTTTTTTCTTCAAAAAAGATGAAGAAACTATTAAGGAATAAATTCAAGGAAGGCATCTTCAATAAGTTTAATTTATTTATAAAAGAGGCATTCATTATTTTCTTGACTCCTCACACGACCACACCGATAACATTAGAAACCTTACAACCTAATATTGTAACATCCGGCTCTACGGTGAGCACCGTACAGCCGGCCCAGGAGCAGGCCCAAGGAAAAAATAGCAAAATAATTCGGTGACATTTTTGTAATTAATGTAAAAAACGCGGTTTCTGCTAAATGAGCATCAATGTACAGTTAATGAGCAATAGTCCAATTTTAATCAGTATTAAGCATCAAATAATGAGCACTGTGTTATTACAAGAAAGTTGATAGCACAATTAATAAATGGTGTCATTTTCGTATTTTCAGTGAAAATCGTGGTTTTCGTCAGATGAGCACTATTACACTTTTAATGACCATCATACGTGTTCTACTGAGCACTAAGAGTCGAATAATGAGTATTTGTGATATCAACTTCATATATTGTAATTCACTTTCTTTTTCTTATTTTTTCTTTTATAAGATCTCATTAAATTATATCTATAATCCGTTCCTATGAATTTCAATATGCGAATCTAATGTAATATGCAACTTTTGAAATATGCATTGATATGACATTTTAAAAATGAGCATAACATGAGCACCAATTGAGCTTAAGTTACTTAAAAATGAGCATTGATATGAAAATCATTAGTTTTTTAGTCGAAATTCAAGACATTTTTATTGAGCATTAAAACTTTTCTATTGAGTATTCGAAACATGCAATTGAGTATCATGCATGGTCTATGCTCCTATGTCTATAATCAACTCCTACGTGAATGTAATTTAATATGGTACTTTTAAAATAAGCATTTATATAATATTTTAAAAATGAGCTAGCATCAGTACAAAATGAGTATACATTACTTACCAAATGAGTAATGATATGAAAATAATAAGCTTTGTTAGTTGACCATCACAATATTTTCATTGTATATCAAACCTCCGTTATTGAGTATCAGAAGCATGCATATCATGATTTGCGGTACCATGTACACAATCTAACTCTTATTCGAATCTAATATGATATTTTTGAAATATGCATTAACATGACATTTTAAAATGAGAATACAAGCAGTACTAGATGAACATACAAAACTTATAAAATAAGCATCGAAAGATCAAAAAGATCGTTTGAATTCTCTAATGTGTTCAAATGTTCATTTTTGCACATAAAGTAACAAATATAGTAATGAAAAATATAGTAATTTTATATTAAAAAAATTATAGTCTTCCGTTTGCGAATTACAAATATAACTGTGTTATTTATATACTCCGTAATATTTACTCATGCATATTTATTTTACTATACTCATTTCAATACTCCATATAACAGAAAATCCACGTTAGACAACAATATTTAATAAACTAATAAATTTTCATCTTAAATTAAAAATAAAACCTAAAATATTTCACAATAAATAAATTAAAAAACCTTAAGTAAGAAATTTGATTGAAAAAAGAAACAAATAGACCGGGACATTTAATAATATTTTATATTATAAATTTTCATAATAATGGAACACAAAATTAAAGAAAAGAGTTGCTAATGAAAGAAACAAAAAAAGAAAGAAGAAACACAATTAAACCAAAACGAAAAAGAATTGAGAACAACAATAAAGCAAATAAAAAAAGGAGAGTAACGATATCGAGATTAACGACTAGTGCAGGAGGAACTAAAAAGAATTGAGAACAAACAATAAATCAAACAAAAAAGAAACAGAGAAGCAATAACGACAAGAGCAGGAGGGGGCGGAGAGAAATTAGGAGTGCATGCGGCCAAAGAAAAGTGAACAGTGTAACCAATCTAATTACTACCCTCAAAGTTGAAAGTAATTACAAAAATGGCGGTTGTACTATACTCGTAGAGCCGGCTGTACCGTATAATTTGCCTTGTCAGCTTGACTAATTGAAGCTAATATAAATATATATAATTGCTCTTTGCATCCCAGGGTAGCTTGGAACTAGAACTTGCAATAACGGCAATGTTATTTCAAATTCAATACCAAGCTACCCATGGGATGCAAAAAAATGTTATATAAAATATTTAAATGTTTTTTTGTATTATCAATGTGTAATAAAGTTAAAATGATCTATGTTGTACAATCCGATCGAGAAGTGATCCCGACAGATGACAACATCAAGCGTCACTCCTAAGTGGGCCCTAACTCGACAGGTCAGCCCGATCAACACTAAATATATTTAATACCCCCTTCGTCCCATTAAACTTGACCAATTGTACTTTTCTTGGTCAATGATAAAAACGTTTGAACAATGATTTTAATTATTATATTTATGCGAAACTTATAATTGTCCAACAAAAGTCAATACGGCCAAGTTTTATGGGACGAAGGGAGTGATACGTAATACTCCCTCTGTATTTTTTTGTTTGCTACACTTTCCTTTTATGGATTTATTCAAAAATTTGCTACACTTTCCTTTAAAAATACTCAACTATCCTTACTTTTTCTATTTTTTATTTTATCTTTCATACTTTTACAATATCTTTCATACTTTTTCTACGGTATTCATTAACCCTACTATTTGACTCTTAAAAAATGTGTCAACACCTAATGTAGCAAACAAAAAAAGGAGTACATAAGATTAAATTCATAAATCGGAAAATTTCATTCTTTTCTAATTTAATGATAAGGCAAGTAAATAATTAAAGTATTTTAGTTTTAAGGGAAAATCACACTTTTGGTCTCTTAATTAGTCACCATATTGAAATGTCAGATCTGTGTTTATGAGATTGTAAGTGTCACCCCCCAAATTGATAGATGTCTTGTAAATGTCATCCCCGCCGTTTATAATTCATCTCAAATTCTGCAATATCAGAAATATTAGTCAGAATGACATTTACAACACATCTATCAATTCAGGGATGACATTTGTAATCTCAGAAATACTAGTCTGACATTTCAATATGGTGACTAATTGAGGGACCAAAAATACAATTTTCTCTAGTTTTAATTGAATTCAAAATACGTTTCGGCTTAGAGGGACTATGAATATGAGCATGACACCAATTAAAATTTCTCTAGTTATATATAGAAGGTTTATATATATAACTAGTATGTGTACCCGTGCACTGCACGGGAAAATATGTTCGTAAAGTTTTTATTAAAATTGTCGGGAAAATGAATTGTACATGAATTCATCAATTAGTTTTTAAAAGAAAATTCAATCGACTATGGATAGAGCTGTCAAAATTAGTCGAAGTCCATAGCCCCTTTCATCTCATTTCATAGTGGGTTAGAGTTGTCATTCTTCAATCATGTGAACTCACCGGTTTCAATTCGTGGTGCAACTTGCACGGGTAGCAGCTTAAGTGAGTTGACCCATGTAGGTTGCGAGTCAACCAAAATGTAAACATCTAGTTTTTACTTTTATTAT